AAGACGAAAACAAATTCTATGATACACATGAATTAAACTCAGAAAATGACTACTCCAGCGGATGTGGTCGCCTCCAGTAATACAAGCAGAGAAAGGAGGGAGTTCAATGAAACTAAAATTGTATTTTATCTTTCCTTTTCCTCAACCATTCCAGCCAGACTCTCAAGTTCTCTACATGGCTGTCCAAACCCATCATAGACACTTCAATGAAAAGATTCAGAACTGCAGCAGAAAAAAATAGGATGTAGCTAGTTCCCCCTTCCCCTCCTAAAAGTTTTTAGATGATTTGCTAATTTACCACGGAGAATGGCAAGTAGCTGTTCGCTCTTACAGGAAGTGTTATTTCCAGAGAATACACTAAGCTTCAACTCATGCGAAGGACATCTTCTGAAGCTCGTTTCCATGAAACTCGCCCTGTATGTGAACCTGTTAAAAATCTCCCTTCCCATCATTCGTGAGAGAACAAGTATAAATACAAAAAACTTCCCCTTTCCTCCAGGTCAGAGAGAATTTTCCTCTAGTTGCTGACAGCTTGGTGACCAGGCATTGCTGAAAATGTTCATGTTGATCCAGCAGCAGATGTGTGTTTAAGAATAAACTGACAATTAAAAAAAAATAAAACTGACAAATTTTCACTTCCTGTCCTGAAATACTAATTTAGAAAGGCAAGCGAAAACTACCAGATAATAAATGTTAACCAAGCAAGGAGCGGTGGCTCACGCACGTAATCCCAGCGCTTTGGGGAGCCGAGGCGGGCGGACCACGAGGGCAGGAAATAGAGACCATCCTGGCCTACATGGTGAAACCCCATCTCTACTAAAATTACAAAAAAAATTAGCTGGGCGTGGTGGCGCACGCCTATAGTCCCAGCTACTCGGGAGGCTGAGGCAGGAGAATTGCTTGAACCCAGGAGGTGGAGATTGCAGTGAGCCGAAATCGCACCAGTGCACTACAACCTGGGCGACAGTGCGAGACTCCATCTCAAAAAATAAAAATAAAAAAAAATTAAAAATTAATGTTAACTTTCAAATTATGGACCGTAAGTAAAGACATCTCAGTCCTTTTCCCCAGTGTGCTTTCCAGAGTAACAATGTACGAGTTCTACATTCCAAACGATTACAATAATTTAGGTAATATAAATGGGTGGACTTATTTCTTGATGGAGCACATGTCACCTCTGGATGCAGTCACTAATCATTTCTAAGCAATGGCTGTCATGCAGACCGATTATTGCCAGATCTTCTAATTTTCTCAAGAAAAGCCAAAAGTGAAGATTTTCATGTCAATGTTAAAATACAAACTTAAAAAAAAAAAAACAAAAGGTAACCAATCTGTAGGTAACTCATCCATAATCTCTGGCCTAATGACCTGGCAGCTGTTCTGTCACCTCAAAGCCAAGAGGACCAAAGAGTTGAAAAATTAAGTCCTATGTATACATCAAGCCATGTTGCCCACATCTGTTTCTCCTAAAGAAGTCTCTTGCTGTTCAGCCTTTCATATGCAGATGCTAACAAGCTAATAACTATTCAAAGAATATCCTGGTTCTTTCTCCAAAAGATGAAGTGTCAGACACATTTCATTCCCAACTTGTCTAGGATGGTTTGTGGACTGAACTGGTCTGATCATGACCATACCAGCTGTCAGTCACCTCTGCTTTTCTGACCACCAAATCACTGCCCTTGATCGTGTTCTGTTTTGCTCCATCCCACTTTCAGAGACAAACACAAGCTTCAGCAATGAGGCCCAAGCTTGCATGTATACACTTTAATCCCTCTATAATTAAAAATACCAGATAATACTTTGCTGATCGATAAACAAAAGTATTTATTCAGCACCCATGTGCCAAGCACTGTGCTAGGCACTGTGGTGGATACAAAATTTAAGACATGGTCCCTGCCCTTAAGGAGCTTACATTCTCATGAGGAAGACAAGACTAATATACATGTACCAGCTAGGAACAATACAAGACAATATATAATCTGGTGTAAGAATATGTCATACAGACTTGAAGCTTTATAGGGATTCAGAGACAGACAATAAAATAGGCCTTAGAGTCAAGATTTTTGGAGGAATCAGGAACAAGGCCCGGCCTTGAGGAACTGAAGATACTTAAGTTGAGGTCCCTGTTAGGTAGAAGTGGGAGTCAAGAAAAAAAACAAGGATGCATATGACAGAGGGGCTTACTAAGAAGTCATTGTGGATTTCTGAGAAGTGACTAGATCATACAAGATTCAACAATTTTATTGCAAACTCATAAAATATGTTTAAGCATCCTACAGAACACAGAAAATAATGGCAGGATCATGACTAACAACATAGCTGGAACTCACCTGTCAAAGAAAAACAGCCACAACATAAAACATCGTCAGGATAAATGACAATAATTTTAGGAAGCCCATTACTAAACATGGTAATAACTCCAATTTGTCCTTATTTTCAGAGGCCCCGGAGACACCTCTGCCTGCTTCTAAAGACTACACAAGAGGTATGAAAGATACGAGGACATACAAGAGTGACACAGAAAAAAAGTTGAAGAGAGAAACAAATAGAAATCCATAGTGAAAAAAACGCACCGAAATGTATAAAAACGTATCTCCTAGGGAGATGCAATTTGTATGTCCATTTATTTTTAAATGAACGTATAGTGTATTTCCATAACAACAACAAAAAAACCTATGCTTAAGTCAAGTGTGCTTTTCAGTATTACTGGAAGAATCCAGGAATCCCTCATTATGTGTAAGGTTAGTTGGTCACAAAATTCCACCTATCAAATCTCACTTTTATTTTATTTGCATTGTGAAAAGGAAGTGTGTTCTGGAAGAATCAAGATTGAGGGGCAAATTTGGGGGAAAGTAAGGACTTTTCTGTATGTCCATTCAAGCACAGGCATCCTGTCAGGCAACACAGGGCTAGGAATCATGGTAGTAGGGCTGGCCAAACTGATGAGGTGATTGAAATTACCACTGCTCAGGACAGTGTGGTCACACAGCCTGTCATCCTGCCACTAGGAACTTGCACCCTATACAATCAGAGAAACCAAAAATCCCGTAACTGCCTGCCTTCAGGCTATACATTCAAAATACATTTCCTGTTTTACCCAGTCATTAATGTATACAGATATTCCCTACTTAAATGAAAAGTGAGTGAATAGATTTTAGAATTAGCATTTTACCACAACAATGCCACTACTTGGATAACTCAAAGTTAACTCAGGGAGAACAAATAAAACTAGAGAAACCCATCTCTACCCCAAAAACAATTTAAAAAAAATGAAAAACTCTAACAAACATCACTGATAAAGCTTTCTTGAGCAACAACAAGATATGATAAAACTTAAGAATCTCATAAGGAGTATACACTTTAAGATTGGCTTTTAAACTTTAAACAGCTTTTTAAAACCACTTAAAGAAAAAGCAGTACCATAGACACAGGTTCCATAAAATTGCAGCAATCATATTCAAAGTTACTAGCAACATGTAAAATACTTAAATTCTATTAGTTATCCAATTCCATTTAAAGATATTAAAACACTTTTCACTTCAAAAACAATCTGAAAATTCCTATTTAGGATGTATGTTATGTTTAAGCCTATGTCTATCCTTCTGAGGACAATTGCACATTCTGGAATTGCCACCCCTTAAGAAAGGTTGTACTACTAACAATCCACTTTTGGGAAAGGGAACTGTGTGTACACACCGTTAATGATAGCTGTTTGGAATCATCTCTTTCCTTAGGGGTGCCCTTTTGACTCTTCCAGGTCTGTGAGTTACTTACGCAGTGTGAATGCAAATCTGCTGAGACTCAGGGAAGACTGAATATTTGGGGCAAGTATTTATTGAGCCACAGCATTAAGTATCTACTTCTGTGGACCCTGTCTAATTTCTACCTGATTGGGAAGGTAATACAAGTACTTGGCTCTGAAAAGGTTCTTGGATTTTCATGAAGCAAATGACTAATGTTAACTAGCCAAAGACCCTGGAGAAACACACGCCTGACTAACTGCTATCTGTTCATCTGGCTCCAAAGTCAGTTTTCTAACTTGTTTTCCAAATCTAATGGAAATCTGACACCCTGTCTCTAATTAAAACAAACAAACAAACAAACAACAAAAAAAAACTTTTTTTTTTTTTTTTTTTTAGTAAAGGAGGAAGACCTCATATAAAACCAAAAAATTTTTTTAATAAAAAGAAGAAAAAAAGCTGGGCATGGTGGCTCATGTCTGTAATCCTAGCAGTTTGGGAGGCTGAGGTCGGAGGACTGCTTGAGTCTGGGAGTTCAAGATCAGCCCGGGCAACATAGTGAGACCCCAACTCCATTAAAAAAAAAAAAAAAAAATATATATATATATATATATATATATATATATATATATATATATATTTTTTTTTTAAAGATGGGGTTTCACCATGATGGCCAGGCTGGTCTTGAACTCCTGATCTCAGGTGATCCACCCACCTCGGCCTCCCAAAGTGCTAGGATTGCAGGTGTGAGCCACTGTGTCCAGCAAAAAAAAAAAAAATTTAATTAAAACTTACAAAAAAAAAAAAGCCTAATGAAAAGCTTCCTAGTTTTCCAAAAATGTGGCCCTTACCAGTCTTTCCCTGGATACTTCTTAAAGGAGAAATGTAAGTAGAGCAAATAAGATGACACATTAGCTTTTTGCTTACAGCTGACTCTCCTACAGTTGAATTCCTACTGCTACAAGAACCACTCTCCCTCCTTTTTTTCCCACGTTGTCTGACAAAGTTTTGCAAAACCCAGATGGAGAACAACTTATCCAGGTGACGGAAATAAATCATCTTCCTGCTGAATCTTGCATTCTGAATCAGTAAGATTTATACAATCACAGCGTAACAACCAAATATTTCCAATCCTAAAATGAAATCAAGTGAAAAGTTGTGAAGACTCAAGAAGAGCAGCCATGAAAACTGTTCTGAGCTCAGATCTACGAAGGAGAGCTACATCATCATAATTTAAAAGATCACACACAAAAGCTTTAATACAGTGAGAGAAAAATGGAATTCAGTTTTATTTTGTCCTCTCTGAAACTTCCATTTACACCATGGCCTCATCTATCAAGAGGAGGAAGAAAAAGCCCTGCCTTATACCATAAAAATCAAGTACTCACGTACTTGTTACAGGTGGCAGGATATTTGTTTCTACAGTTTTTTGGCTCCAAGAAATTACACTTTCAGTACCCATGTAGTGAGGAACCACTGGCAAACTGCTGGAAATGTCTTCTGGATTAGTCAGTGTACCATTTTATAAAGTGCTTCTGGAGTTAAAATCTGCCAGGTTGTCAAAAGTATCCACACTTTTGCAACCAAGGATAAAAGAATCCCAATGGGTATCACTGAGTCCTTCCCAGCTGGGTCTCATTATTGGCACTGCTGCTTTAACCTCCGAGGCGCTGGCCCTCACCCCAGGCGAAGCCTCCTGGCCGTTCTTCAGGTAGTGGATTGTAATTTGGATCCTCATCTGGTGTATCAAAAATAGCTTTCCTAAAAGACAGGCAACAGATATAATTTGGTCCCAGAGTCATCTAAGGTCCTAGGTAATACAAAGTCAGTTCAGCTCCCACAGGGGTCCACCAATAGGTAAGTATTACACTTGCCTGACAATTAAACAGTTACCATATTGTAAGAGCATCTATAATATTAACATTTACATTAGTTTTAATCTTTTGCCAGTTTTTACTACAAAAGCAATCCATATCATAATAATTATAGAGAAGGAGGAAATACAGATGAACAAAATATCCTAAATTTCTAGAGGTAATTATTGTCCATGTTTTAGTTATTCTTCTGCAACTTTTACATGACCTAATTTTACAAAAGTTAAATCACACTACATCTGTTTTGTAACCTGACTTTCACATATTTATCATTTCACAATGTCTCCCCATAATCAAGGTATCACCATGTCCATCAACAGATGAATGAACAAAATATGGGAGGTATGTACATATAATTTTTTTTTTTTTTGAGATGGAGTCTCACTCTGTCACCCAGGCTAGAGTGCTGGGTTCAAGTGATTCTCCTGCCTCAGCCTCCCAAGTAGCTGGCATTACAGCTGTGCCACCTGGGCTCAGCTGAGATCACTGCACCCAGTCGAACAGAATGTTATTCAGCCTTGAAAAGGAAGGAAATAGGCTGGGCACAATGACTCACACCTGTAATCCCAGCACTCTGGGACACTGAGGCAGGTGGATCTCTTGAAGCCAGGAGTTCCAAGATCAACCTGGCCAACATGGCAAAACTCCCATCTCCGCAAAAAATAAAATTAGCCTGGCATGGTGGCACACGTCTATAATTCCAGTTACTACTCAGGCGGCTGAGGCAGGAACTTGCTTAAACCTGGGAGGCACAGGTTACAGTGAGCTGAGATTGCTCCACTGCACTCCAGCCTGGGCAACACAGCAGGACTGTCCCCCCCCAAAAAAAGACGGAAGAAAATTCAGAAACATGGTACAACATGAATGAACCTTGAGGACTTTAAGCTAAATGAAATATGAAATAAGCCAGACAAAAAAGAACAAATACTGTATGATTCCACTTATGAGGTAACACAGAATAGTCAAATTCAGGGAAGCAAAATAGAATGGTGGTGGCCGGGGTGGGGTGGGGAGTTGTTTAATGAGAGTTTCAGTTCTGCAGGATGAAAAGAGTTCTATGGATGGTGGTGACGGAAGCAAAATAGTATGAATATACGTAATGACACTGAACATTTAAAATTAGTTAAGATGGTGAATTTTATGTTAGGTATTATTTTACCATAATTAAAATTTTTAAAAAATTAACAATGCATCCCAAGAAAAATTACTGCAGAACACAGGAGGGGACAGTAAATGTCCAAAAGACTCTCTAAGTACTACAATGTAAGTATAGTACAAAATGAGTTTTTAAAATTCCTACAAATTAACAATGAAAACAAACATACCAATAGAAAAAATGGGCAAAGAGCTCAACAAGCAACTCATTTTGTTTTGTTTTTGTTTATTTTTTTTTTATTCAACAAGCAATTCAAAAAGGAAATCCGTGTGGTCATCAAACATGAGAATGTTGGCTCTCACAATAATCAAAGGAAAGTATATTAAAAACTGAGATCCCGGCCGGGTGTGGTGGCTCATGCCTGTAACCCCAGCACTTCGGGAGGCCAAGGCAGTTGGATCACCTGAGGTCAGGAGTTCAAGACCAGCCTGACCAACATGGCAAAACCCCATCTCTACTCAAAATACAAAATTAGCTGTGGCACATTCCTGTAATCCCAGCTACTCGGGAGGCTGATGCAGGAGAGTCACCTGAACCTGGGAGGTGGAGGCTGCAGGGAGCCGAGATTGAGCCACTGCACTCAAGCCTGGGTGACAATGCCAGAATCCATTTCAAAAAGAACAACAACAACAAAAACAAAACTGAGCTCCCTTCTACTGCTCAAACACTAGCAGTACAGGGAGTCAAGAGCCCATCAGACCATGAGTACATGAAAGTGGTCTGACAAGATGTTAGCCTGAGCAGGGCGGGGAGTGCATCCCCATAAGAGGGCAGCCTGGTCTGGGGAATCTGAGGCTGAGTGAGATGAGCAAGGCATCCATACTGGGGAGGTGACTATGATGAAACACTGGTTACATATGGGGGTAATTAGATAGGTAAAAACAATCATATTAAGAATCAGATTAGGACAATTGGGAAGGGCAGATGGAAAGGAGCCGTACATTCATATAATCAAATAATACTCAGCAATAAAAAGGAACAAATTACAAAAACATACAAGAACATAGATGAATCTCAAAAACATTATGTTGAATTAAAAAAAAAAAGCGTTTTTTTTTTTTTTTTTTTTGAGATGGCGTGTAATGGCACCCAGGCTGGAGTGTAATGGCATGATCTCAGCTCACTGCAACCTCTGCCTCCCGGGTTCAAGCAATTCTCCTGCCTCAGCCTCCTGAGTAGCTGGGATTACAGGCATACACCACCACACTCCACCACACCTGGCTAATTTTTTGGTATTTTTAGTAGACAGGGGTTTCACCATATTGGTCAGGCTGGTCTCAAACTCCTGATCTTGTGATCCACCAACCTCAGCCTCCCAAAGTGCTGAGATTACAGGCATGAGCCACTGCGCCCCGCCTGAAAGAAGCCTTATACAAAGGAGTACATGCATACTGTATGATTCTACTTATGAAGTTGTAGAACATGAAAAACTAATCTACAGAGGACAAAATCAGAATAGCTATTGCTGGCCGGGCGTGGTGGCTCACACCTGTAATCCAAGCGCTTTGGAGGCCAAGGCGGGCGGATCACCTGAGGTTGGGAGTTCAAGACCAGCCTGACCAACATGGTGAAACCCTGTCTTTAAAATAAAAAAAAATTGACAAAAAAGAATAGCGATTGCTTCTTGGGGGACAGGTGCAATGACTGACAGGGAAAGACATCAAGGAACTTTCTGGTTGATGGTAATTTTCTGCCTTGATAGATACACATGTGTGCATTTATAAAAATTCATTAGTTGACACACTAAAGATTTGTGTATTTTGTTGCACATAATTACTAAACTCTAGTTAATGATATACATACTAAAGTATATAAGGAATTAAGTATATCTATAATGGCACATACATTTTGGACTGGAAAGCTAGATGGAGGGATAGGTGTGCAAAAAGAGTAGGGAACTATTAGGCCGGGCATGGTGGCTCACACCTGTAATCAGAGCACTTTGGGAGGCCGAGGCCAGCAGATCACCTGAGGCAGGGAGTTCAATACCAGCCTGAGCAACATGGAGAAACCACATCTCTACTAAAAACACAAAATTAGCATGGTAGCACATGTCTGTAATCCCAGCTACTCAGGAGGCTGAAGAATTGATTGAACCTGGGAGGCGGAGGTTGTGGTGAGCCAAGATTATGCCTTTGCACTCCAGCCTGGGCAAAAAGAGAAACTTCACCTCAAAAAAAAAAAGGCAACTATTGATTACAGAATCTATGTGGTGGCTAAATGAAGCTCACTCTAATTTTTTTGTGATTTCCTATTATTGGAAATTTTCATAATAAAATACAGGAGGAAACAAATAGAAAGGAAAAAAGGTAGTATGAACCATGGGGTAGTACTAGAAATGGTAGTATAAACCCATGTTTTTGAAAATAAACAGATCTAAAAATATACATGCATATACATTATCATACATAGATATAATTCCATTGCTCTGTCCACCTAAAGGATCTGGGAATAGCAACACTTCAATAGCAATGAGCACATCTAGCACCCAGATCTCGGCTTCTAAATACCATTCTCCACTTTAAAGGAACCAGGGCTCCTTGAAGAAACAGCTGATTCCAGGACTGGATCAAGGAGAGCACAACATGAGCCTTGTGTATCTTGTTGAGCCAGAAAACAATTGCAAAAAAAAAAAAAAAAGTGGGGTGTGGTGGCTCACACCTGTAATCCCAATGCTTTGGGAGGCCAAGAGACAGGAGGATCGCCTGAGGATAGGAGTTCCAAGACTAGCCTGGGCAACATAGAGAGACCACATTTCCACACACACAAAAAAGCAGAGCCTGGTGGTGTGCGCCTGTAGTCCCAGCTACTTGAGAGACTGAGGTGGGAGGGTTACTTGAGCCCAGGGGTTTAACAGTGAGCTATGATCATATCACTGCACTCCAGCCTGGGCAATGAAGTGAGACCCTGTACTGCATTTGTAATTTCCTGTAGGACTGAAATTGTTTCGAAAACATCTTTTAAAAATCATAAATAACGAGACATCATTCTATAACTATCCAACTAGGAAAGGATAAATAAAATGCCTCCCTTGTTTGATAAGGATGTGGGGAAATGAACACATACATGCTAGTTGAAATGGAAACTTGAACATCCATTCTGGAAGGCATTTGGCAACAAAACAGCAATTCTACTTCCAGGAATTACATTTTGAAAATAATCATGGATGTGTGAAGAAACTTAGCTAGAAGGATATTCACCACTCCAATTATAGAAGAAAAAACCAAAAAAAAAAAAAAAAAAAAAAAAAAAAAAAAAAGCACTAATGTAAATGTCTATCAATAAGGGATTAGTAAAATTATGCCATATCCATACCATGGAATATCATCTAGCTGTTACAATTGTGTAACACTTTATGATGGAAAAAACAATTATGACATATTAAGTTTACAAGGTTACAAAATTGTTTTTTGAGACAGGGTGCTACTCTGTCCCCCAGCCTGAAGTGCAGTGGTGCCATCTCAGCTCACTGCAGCCTCAACCCCTCTGGGCTCAAGCAATCCTTCTACCTCAACCTCTCGAGTAGCTAGGATTACAAGCATATGCCACGATATGCAGCTGATTTTTATGTTTTTTGTAGAGATGGGGGTTTTGCCATGTTGCCCAGGCCGGTCGCAAACTCTTGAGCTCAAGTGATCTTTCTGCCTTCACCTCCCAAAGTGCTGGGATTACACGCGTATGTTATGTTGTCCAGGCTGGAATGCAGTGGCTATTTTAAAGGCCTGGCCAAAGAATAGCAGTGGCTATTCACAGGCACAATCATAGGGCATAACAGCCTTGACTGGCTCAGCATTTTAAAAAAAGTGCACAGATAGTAAAGACTGAAGAATACCTATAGAAAAGTTAACAATGGTAGCCACTGCTACATCCAAGTGTCAGGATCGTGGACAATTTTACTATCTTGCTTAACTATTCTACAACAAACATTTTATAACAAAAACTCACATTTTATTTTTCAAGTGAGCCCTTTTTAATATGGTATCTCCCAAGGACACCAAATTCCAGAGTAGAAAGAGGTCTCATAAATCAAAAGTTCTGCTGCACTCCAGCCTAGGTGACAGAGCGAGACCCCATGTCCCCCCTCAAAAAAAAAGAAATCAAAGTTCTATCTCAGGAAACTGAAGTGCAAAAAAGAAGGGACTTGCTATAGGACTGGTCAGTAGAACAGCTACACCTGGTTTCCAGTTTAAAGCTACTTCCACTCTGCTTCACTGCTTATCTCAACCACCTGCTTGGCAGGCCAGAAAGTCCACCATTAGAAACTTTCCTCAGTTTTGCTCATTTTGCTATCTTACTTCACTAAATGTGGACAGCAGCTTTCATAAAAAACAGTAGGCTCCTCCTGGAACAGGAAGTTCTAGTGGTCATCTGGAACTAACAATTACCAGGTTATTCCCAAGATATCCTGAGCCTGTTAACCTTGCTCTGGCCACAACCCTGGCACTGTCTGTTACTACCCAATCCAAGTGCTCTTCAACTGCAGCCAGCTTGCTCAATCTGTAAATAGTTACTGACCTCAACCACATGTACTAGGAGCTAGGAGAGCCCAAGAAAACACAGATCATGACCCCCTATCCTGGTTTGCCTGTAAGAGTATGTAAATACTCACAAGATAGATGGTGTTTTCAGAATTCTTATTCCACCAGGCTGATTAGGAAATACATCTTCCAAGAAAAAATATATGTGTCCAACTGCAATACCTAAAGTCAAGCAGAAATAAAGGATGAGGGAGACAATGAAAATTTAGATTGCAGGCATACCTACCAACATAAATTGCCTGTATTTAGGATGAATGGCAGCATAATTATTAATGAACTAATATTGTTGTCTTTTACAATACTTATACATGAAGGCCAAACAGAATATACATGAAAAACAGTGACAAAATACATTTACAGGTAAAAGAATTTAAAAAATAGTGAGAAGAGCCTTACCCAAAAGGTCCACAATGATTGAGTTCCCCAACAACAAGGAAAACCCCATGAGCACCCAGGGCAGAAAGGGGGCCTGGAAGTTGAGAAGGCCGAAGAAGTTCATGCGGACATAGGGGTTTCTTCGGCTCCACACGTAGACGAGCATTATTGTAAAGGCCTGGCCCAAGAAAACTAAGCTCACAAACAAACCAAAAAGCTAGCAGATAGCATTAAGGAAAATATCAACATTAAAAGTTTAATAGGGGAAGACTGAGCAGGAGAACTAATATTTGTGTTCTAACAAACATTTAAGCTGGAAAAGTCAAGTTGTTACATCTTTAGAATAGAAAGAAAAAAAAAAAAACAACAAAATAATTACCCAGAGCAATCATGCAAAAATCTGCTTAGGCTAAATTATCGAGATTGCAGCTACTTTAAACACTCTGCTTTCGTGAAGTTCTTGCCTCTTTGGAAAATGTGTTAATTCTTTGGTCAATAATTATACTAAAGCTTGCTCATGGTTAGCACCTTTACAGAGGTGAATAAAGCTAGCTGGAACAAAACCATCTTGTCCAACAGTAGCATATCTAAGACTATTGTATAGATGAAAATTCTTTTTCTAAAAAATAATTTATCGGTTTTGATAGCCACCAAGTAAATGTCTTACCAACTTAGTTTAAAAGTGAAGTACACCAAGCAGCAATGATATAACTGAGACACTTAATAGTAACCCACCTGGGTTAAAAGCTCCTTTGACTTGTTCATCCTGTTCAACCTCTAGCCTTGGAAACTTGTCACAGAAAATGTGCTGTAAAATAAATGATGGTGGGCTGGGTACGGTGGCTCATGCCTATAATCCCAGCACTTTGGGAGGCCAAGGTGGGCGGATCATCTGAGGTTGGGAGTTTGAGACCAGCCTTACCAACATGGAGAAGAAACCCCATCTCTACTAAAAATACAAAATTAGCCGAGTGTGGTGGTGCATACCTGTAATCCTAGTTACTTGGGAGGCTGAGGCAGGAGACTTGCTTGAACCTGGGAGGCACAGGTTGCAGTGAGCTGAGATTGCACCATTGCATTCCAGCCTGGGCAACAAGAGCAAGACTCCATCTCAAAAAAATAAAATAAATAAATGATAGTGCCCTAATGCTAAAATCTGGAGGTCTACTTTTATCTGTTTGTTCAGAGTATCTAGTGAATTGTGGGAGGCAGATGACAAGCTTTAGGAAGAAACAGCGTGTTCTTTAACATTTTCCTGTATGTGTTCTATTTGTTGAAGGATACGGTCATTAAGAATCCACCAAAAAGGAACATAAATACAAAGTCTGCTGTCCGACCCCGGAAAGAGCCTTCTTCTAGCATTCGACAGTAACGGTATCTTAAGTTCCAAGTTAAGAAAATATTAAGCACACGAGTATGAACAAAGTAAAATTTACTGTTATGTAAGTACACTTGGATTCCATATTATTTGTAAGAAGTCAAGTCTTCATTTGTGTAAGAATGTTTGAGTGGCAATGTCATTACCCTTCTTTTACCAAGCGTTTTAGAAAAGGTCAAGACCAGCACCATATTTTACAAACCGTCCCTAGCTGGCAACTAATCCACATAACATACAGACGTGCTTCCGGTCTCCTATTAAACCTTTAAAAAATTGTACAGTCTTTCCTGTGCTCAGCTGCACCATCTTTGCTTTTCCACAACCTAATTTGGAAGAAATCCGTAGCAAGAAGCCTTGTGTGTTAAACTACTTTTCCAGACCTGGTATGAGCACCTCAGTCAATATAGATGAATTATGATGAGAAAAAATTTTATTGGAAACTTACCAGAATGATATCCTAAATAGGATTTAAAATGGATGCCTGCCATCCTCAGGAAGGAATGCAGCTGCAGATGAGCTGAACTGTAACTCCCTCTTAACAGAGAGGGCAGGGGTGGAGGAGGAATGCCATACGGCCCCAACTGCCACTGATCAGAGCTGGGGTTTTCCTCTCTTTCAACACACTGGAACTTGACAAGCCTGGCAGACATACCACCGTCTTTCAGCCAGTAGTTCCCGCAACCAGGACCCAAGGAGACCACAAGTTCCCACTCCTCATAAACCCACTCTAAAACTTATGCCCAAATTCTGCTAAATTATCATTGTATTCAAGTTGTTTTACCACTTTGTACCTGTTGATGCTACTGTGGAAATATACCTCAGTTAAATCACTTCTCCCCTCCCTTGATCAGATTTGTAAGCAACTAAAAAGTAGAAGTGGTATCTTTTTATGGTTAAAACTTCCCATTTGAACAGTGACCTACAAACCTTTTCAAAACATTACCTAACCAACTACTTTATGTACCGCTGATCCAGAAATTATAGCTAAGATGGTACCAAAAACAAATAACAGGATTAAAAGCTTCAACTTAATCTTTTACTTCCTAAGAAAACAAAGTTTTGATGCTTATCCCATTTCATAAAGGATACAGAAAAATCATGTTAAATAAAAAATTGAATCCAACTGGCCCAAAAAATAAGAAATTGGTGATTAATCTCCATATCTGTCAAAAAAAATCAAGAGAAAGATGTATTAAGTCAAATAAATTACCAGGAAACGGTTCCATATGAATACAAAAGACACATCCTATGACTATGATGGTTGAGAAGCCTTGGACAGAGTTATATTCTGTTCTGAAACAAAATGAGGGCATACAATCCGATGTTAGATTTTTGCTGCTTTTAGTTAAAAGTTTGAAAGACATCATTGAGACTGTGAGATTTATAATAGGACAGAGAATTTTAAATTGTGATTGTCTTATGGAGAAAGTTTGGTAGAAAGACGAGGTTCATTTGCTGAACAGAAAACAGTGCTTTCATACATAGTATCATCATATAATAAATAGATCTGACATGCCAGAGAAAAACTTCAGGGTCTAATATAAATTGCTGAGAAATGTTTACATTAGGCAGTCAGAAACATCACAAAGAAAATTTTTTGATTTTTAATTAAAAAATTTTTAACAGTATCCAAGACTGAGTAATCTATAAAGAAGAAAAAAAACCTTTTTTTTTTAAAAAAAAAAACAGAGACAGGTTCTCACTACGTTGCCCAAGCTGACTCAAACTCCTGGCCTCAAGGGATCATCCATCTTGGCCTCCCCAAAGTTTTGGGATTATAGGCATGAGCCACTGCACCTGGCCAGAAAGGAAAATTCTAAGGCAAATATCCAAGTTCTAGTTTGAACAAATGGCCAACTCCCTGCAAGAACTATAGTCTACTTGGGAGATACAAGAACACTCATTTTCTTTTCTTTTTTTTTTTTTTTTTTTGAGACAGATTCTTGCTCTGTCACCCCATCTGGAGTGCAGTGGCGTGATCCCGGCTTATAGCAACGTCTGCCTCCCAGGTTCAAGTGATTTTCCTACCTCAGCCTCCTGAGTAGCTGAGATTACAGGTGTCACCACAACTGGCTAATTTTTGTATTTTTAGTAGAGGTAGGGTTTCACCATGTTGGCCAGGCTGGTCTTAAATGCCTGACCTCAAATTATCCACCCACCTCAGCCCCCCAAAGTGCTGGAATTACAGGTGTGAGCCACTGTGCCCAGCTGAACACTCATTTTCTTGTTGGAAACCCTGATACAGCCTTCCCTACCCAACGTCTCCACACCCACAGTATTCACTCACAATGGTAGAGTATTTAACATTTAAAAATTTCTACTACCTCTTGTGATTGTAATAATCCTGTGAGACAAGCAGGCTACCCCCCATTTCACAGATAGGAAACAAAAAGACTTAATGAAACTGACTAGCTAGTTATTCAACTAACAGTTGAACTTTTAAATATCCTGACCAAGGACCCACAGGTTGTAGAGGGAGACTCTGCTGGCAACGCTAGAACTCCTAACTCCAAATGCACAGTGTCTTCAAGAGTTTAACCCCAGGCAAAGTAAAGCCAAGCAAGCCAAGCAGGAAGTTAAGACTTACTTGGATGGAACTACAGCTCCATGTGAGTATTGTGGGAACAGAGTGACAAGAGATGACAGGACTGCTTTACAAATCACTAAATTCTTGAGAACTGGTAACTATTAATGTTGAAATAATTAGTTCTACATATCAATTATCCAGATTTTAGAGTCCTCATCCTAGTGAGGAGACAAGCATATAAGTAACTGCAAAGTAAAGGTGAGAGATGCTCTAAAACAAAGGAGGATGAGTACATAAAGGTTACACAAAAGCTGCATTTTGAAAGGCAAGCTAGAGCTCAACAGGTATAAAGTGAATGAAACACAATTGAGACAGAGGGGACAGCATGGGTAGAGGCACAATTATTGGCTTTTGGGTCTCTCCCCTACTCCAACTATGGTCTGTAAGATCATCCTGGAACAGGAAATCCCATCTCTCTTTTAGCATTTTATTTTGAGATAGAGTTTTGCTCATCTCCCAGCCTGAAGTGCAATGGCACAATCTCTGCTCACTGCAACCTCCACCTCCCGGGTTCAAGTGATTCTCCTATCTCAGCTTCCCCAGTAACTAGGATTACAGGCATGCATCACCAGGCCTGGCTAATTCTTGTATTTTTAGTAGAGTCAGGGTTTTACCATGTTGACTACACTGGTCTCAAACTTCTGACTTCTGGTGATCTGCCTGCCTCAGCCTCCCAAAGTGCTGGGATTACAGGCGTGAGCCACCACCCCTGGCTGCTGTTAGCATTTTAATCACTGGAAAGGACTCTCTCCCACTGTAATCTAATAAAACACCATGTTGCTTTACATGTTGGTCTTTTGGAATTTTGCTAGTATGATCTGATCCCTGGAAGACAGATCACAATTTAAAAGCACTAACAGAATTGAGTTTCTGGACCATGGTGATAACACCAAGGTGGTGTGTGTGCCTAGGGTGGTGAATGGACAAAATAAGGCCATCCCTTTGTGACAACCCCTAAGCAGCCACCTGGTCAGTCTCCTCTCAAATTACAACATTAAATCTAAACCAGTGATACCAAATACAGGAACTGGGCATATCAAAACGATGCAGGGAACTTTTAAAAATAAAACACAGATTTTAATTCCTACCCTTGCAAATTCTGACTTGGTACTTGTTGAGGAACTTGAGAATCTCTTCAAAGTTCCCTAAGGGATTCTCAAGTCCAACCAGGTTGCAGAATCACTGCTTTATATCCTGACAAAACAATTATAATCAAAGGTCCCCAATGGGTTCTTTTTTAGGCTCGAATGTAACAGGATTTGCTACTAAACTGTAAGAAAAGGAATAAACTGAAGCATTAATCACTATTGTGATGAACCACTTACTTGAAAGTGTTTAAAGATTAATTCAGGATTGAAGTACAACTGAAAAGGTGTGATCAATTCCAACTGCTGAAATAGAAAAAGAGCTTCTTAAAGCAAATCAACCAAGAGACAAAATTTCATTATTTACAACAAAGGATTAGTAGGTCTAGCAATTTCCAACTCTGAGTCACTTAGACTGATTTCCTTTAAGCCTTTCTTCTTAGGCCAGAGGAAAAGGTTGGTAAATAAATCTCTAGAATTGGTAGAATTCTTTGTATCCTCAATACCTAACACACAAAAAAAGTTTGTTTTATGTTGCAGTAGTTGAGGCTGACATAAAGAAATGAGAGGCAGACAGGTGGTGATATTTTAGACACAGGACAAGTAAAAACAGCTGCTATGACTACCCACCACATGGGCACCACCTGGAACAGCTGTGTCAAACAACAAAACTCAATTGAAATAACGGAGACTCGAGACCCTGCCACCGTTAGGGCTGGGTACCTCCAGCCAGCCCCTTATTATCCAAAGGCCCTCTTTATTATAAGCTGTTCCCCTCTCGACAGTTTCCAGCTTGCTTTCCTCATTCCTATTTCTTCCCTAAGCGGACCTTCCTCTCACTAGTCACCACGGTACCACCTAGCCATCACCAGAGCTCTCCGACACATTTCTTGGGTGGGAGGCTCCCGCAACCCTAACCCACTACAGGTCCAGCCCTCATTTGTCAGAAACTGACCAGATCCCCATGAAGCAGCACTCCCTTCTCAGGTCACTGGATACGCTTTCTCGGCGCCAATTCGAACCCCTGAGTAATCCCTGTATGCCTCCACCCATCACCGGGACCAGCCCCTCTGGACCTCCCCAACGCCCAAACCCCAGTTTCCTGAAGACTCAGTCATATCCAGCACAGATAACGGGAAGGTGGCGCTGCGGCTGCTCACCACGGCTGCGGTGGTGAGGACGCAGGCAGTGGTGTAGGCGCGGCTGACCGGTGGGATCTGCAGGTACTCCAGCCGCAGACTCTGGTACGCCATCTTCCCCGCGGTCGCCCGCCCTCCCACTTCCCCTTCCGCCAGTGGGTCGCGGCGGCAGGGCGGGCCCAAAGCGCCCCCTCCCCTCCCCCCCTTAACCTTCCCGTGGCTGCCCAATCAGCGCCAAGCAACCGGCCAGCCGCCAATCCGTAGAGCCCTAAGTAAGGCACACCCGCCAATCACGAGTTGCGTCGCCTCAACGCCCCAGCGCCCCGGCGCCCCAGCCTGGCTTCTCCACCAGCCAACGTCCGGGAAAAACGAGTAAGTATCGGTTCGTTCTGCCAATCCCCGCCGGCCACAGCTAACTTTCCCGCCCGGCCCCTTTCTGTCACTAATTGAGGTGCCCCCAACCAGCCAATCAGGAGAGCGAGAGCATCCCGCGTTTGCTTTCGTTCGCCGAGGCGCTTATCAGTCGGAATTCTGGGGAGCCAACCGCTCCGTCTGTCCTTGGCATGCCAGCGGCGTTTTAGAGGAGGTGGCGGGAAGCCTGTGTGTGCTCGAATTCGTCACCCTCATGGTCGCTCCAGTAAGTGCTGCGGAGCAGCATTTTTCCTGAGGAGGAGCGGGGACTGGCGGGACTGGTTTAGGCGTCATCGCGGGGGGAGCGCGGCGGCCTGCTGGGTAGGCCTCGCCGCGGTCTCCGAACTGAAGGTCCCGGCATGCAGCGCGGCCGCGGGGCCCGGCGGGAGCCCGGAGCAGGCCGGAAGCAGTTCCTGCGCCCTGCCTTCTGGGTCCTTTTCCGCGCAATCTTGGGCACTTAGCTCAATTCGCCTAGATGGCCTGGGCACTGACGCGTGCAATCGGTAAATGATGAGGCCGCACTCATTCTCTGCTAGGAAATCCAAGTCTAGCAGAGAAGATGAGGTGGTAGTTTTTTTTTTTTTTTTTTTTTTTTTTTTTTTTTTTTTAGACAGAGTTTCGCTCTTGTTACCCAGGCTGGAGTGCAATGGCGCGATCTCGGCTCACCGCAACCTCCACCTCCTGGGTTCAGGCAATTCTCCTGCCTCAGCCTCCTGAGTAGCTGGGATTACAGGCACGCGCCACCATGCCCAGCTAATTTTTTGTATTTTTAGTAGAGACGGGGTTTCAGCATGTTGACCAGGATGGTCTCGATCTCTCGACCTCGTGATCCACCCGCCTCGGCCTCCCAAAGTGCTGGGATTACAGGCTTGAGCCACCGCGCCCGGCCGATGAGGTGGTAGTTTATCTGTCAGTGCCCGAAGAGAGGTCCTAATGGGAATGCAAAGGAACGATTTAATCAAGGAAGTGTATTTGTTTGTTGTTTTTGTTGTTGTTTGAGATGGAGTCTCACTCTGTCGCCCAGGCTGGAGTGCAGAGTGCAGTGGGGCGATCTCGACTCACTGCAACTTTAAGCGATTCTCCTGATTCAGCCTCCCGAGTAGCTGGGATTACAGGCACCTGTCACCATGCTGGCTGATTTCTGTATTTTTAGAAGAGACAGGGGTTTCATCATCTTGGCCAGGCTGCTCTCCGTCTCCTGACTTCAAGTGATCCACTTGGCCTCCCAAAGTTCTGGGATTACAGGCGTGAGCCACCGAGCGCGGCCAAGGAAGTGTATTTTAATGTTCTTTGAGTGACATTTAGCTCAGGCATCCCTCCTTGAGGGAAAGAAAATAACTTGGTTCGGTTGGAGCAGAGTAGCCAGTTCATGGTAGGAGAGGTTAGCATCATGCTTTATTCATGGGTTATAAGGAAGCACTAAAGATTTTTGGAATGATGGGAGTGACCATCAAGTCTGGTCGTTTATAAGGTAGGTTGAAAAGAGTAGTATTTTTAAAAGGATGTGAATGGCCGGGCGCGCTGGCTCACGCCTTGTAATCCCAGCACTTTGGGAGGATGAGGCAGGTGTTTCACGAGGTCCGGAGATCAAGACCATCCTGGCTAACACAGTGAAACCCCACCTCTACTAAAAATACAAAAAATTAGCCGGGCATGGTGATGGGTGCCTGTAATTCCAGCTACTCAGGAGGCTGAGGCAGGAGAATTGTTTGAACCCGGAAGGCGAAGGTAGCAGTGAGCCAAGATCGCATCACTGCATTCCAGCCTGGGCGACAGAGCGACTCCATCTCCAAAAAGGAATTAAAAAAAAAAAAAAAAAAAAAAAAAAGCCGGGCGTGGTGGTGCGCACCTGTAATCCCAACTACTCAGGAGCCTGAGACAGGAGAATCACTTGAACCCGGGAGGAGGACATTGCAGTGAGTAGAGATTACGCCATTGCACTCCAGCCTGGGTGACAGAGTGAGGCTCCATCTCAAAAAAAAAAAAAAAAAAAAAAAAAAAAAAAAAAAAGATAAGAAAATTTTAAAAAGATATGAATAATTGGCAGAAGGAGAAATGTCACCCAAATATCACCCTGACAACCTGTTGATAAAACAACTCTTGGTTTAAGCCAGGCAGGGTGGTGCACACCTGTAGTCCCGGCTACTGCTGAGGCAGGAGGACGTCTTTAGCCCAGGAGTTCAAATCCAGCCTCTGCAACAGCGAAACAGCGAGACAGTTTCTTTTCTTTCTTTCTTTCTTTTTTTTTTTGAGACGGAGTCCTGCTCTTGTCGCCTAGGCTGGAGTGCAACAGGAGATCTTGGCTCACTGCAACCTCTGCGCTTTCCAGGTTCAAGTGATTATCACACCTCAGCCTCCCAAGTAGCTGCGACTACAGGTGTGCACTATCATGCCCGGCTTATTTTTGTATTTTTACTAGAGACAAGGTTTCATCATGTTGGCCAGGCTGGTCTTGAACTCCTGGCAGGTGATCTGCCCGTCTCGGCCTCCCAAAGTGCTGGGATTATAGGCATGAGCTATTGTACTCAGCCTGCAAACATAATTGTTAAGATTAGCAGCATCTTGTCTTCCCATAAGAAGATTTGACTGCACTGCTTGCTGCAAATTATTTCATAAAGTGCATCGTCAATTCACCTGATATTTGAAGTAGCAGTTTATTTTAGCTAATTGCATTTATCTGAAGGAATAATAAAACTTCTCTTATTTCTATGACAAGCATATAATTTCATCCCAGGAAAAGATGCCTAGATTGAACTCCCACAATGACAAGGAGATAAGGGTTTTATTTTCCTAGATGTTTATATTTGAGAGGAATTACTCCCAGACCCTTGAAAAAACATGCAGGGTTATCAAGCTGACAAGGGACTTGTACATCTTTTAATTGCTTTTTTTTTTTCAGGTGGCATGGCTGGAGGACAAGCAAATTGAGGACATTGGCAATGAAGTGATCAAAATGATAGGTCACGAAGCCTAAAATGAATAGGGAAAAGGAAGTTAAGTGGGAGAGGCTGAGAACAAGAAAGAGAGGGTTAGGGGCTGTAAATCTTGAAGATTAGGGTATAATGTGAGTCTATGAGTAAGAGTTGAAAAAATTGTTTAAGAGGTAGTAGTGAAAAAGTAGGAGCAGTTTGGAAGAGTAGTTACAAATATCAAGGGCCAGTTGGTTCACAGGTGGAGGTGTAGATCATTGAAGCTCAAGAAACTAAGTCTCTAGGGCAGGCGTCCCCAAACTACGGCCCACGGGCCGCATGCGGCCCCCTGAGGCCATTTATCCTGCCCCTGCCACACTTCAGGAAGGGGCACCTCTTTTATTGGTGGTCAGTGAGAGGAGCACAGTATGTGGCGGCACTCCAACGGTCTGAGAGACAGTGAACTGGCCCCCCGTGTAAGAAGTTTGGGGACGCCTGCTCTAGGACATTGGTTAAGCCAGCTGTCTAGACTTCAAAGTTGTCTAGGATGATAACAATTCGGAAGACTAGTCTGTGCCAAAGTCACAGGTAAGGAAAATGAACAGTGAGGAGGGGAAAAGAGAGGGTATAGGTTATAATGGAAGGAGCCTCAGAGAGGCAAGAATTTATATCCTGTTGTGGAAGTGGCATCAGGCATAAAGGAACAAAACAACTTTTTGTTTATTTGCTTCCTTGTTTGTTATCTGTAATGTGATATGTTACTTCCCACAAAAGATTTTTCTTTTCAAGTGAATTTATTTTTCCATTTGCAGATTTTTCACAATCGAAAATAACAGGAAAATAAACGAAGATGTCTGTGGATCCAATGACCTATGAGGCCCAGTTTTTTGGCTTCACGCCACAAACATGCCTGCTTCGGATCTACATTGCATTTCAAGACTACCTGTTTGAAGTGATGCAGGCCGTTGAACAGGTTATTCTGAAGAAGCTGGATGGCATCCCAGACTGTGACCTTAGCCCAGTGCAGATTCGCAAATGCACAGAGACGTTTCTTTGCTTCATGAAAGGACGTTTTGATAACCTTTTTAGCAAAATGGAGCAACTATTTTTGCAGCTGATTTTACGTATTCCCCCAAACATCTTACTTCCTGAGGATAAATGTAAGGAGACACCTTATAGTGAGGAAGATTTTCAGCATCTCCAGAAAGAAATTGAACAGTTACAGGAGAAGTATAAGACTGAATTATGTACTAAGCAAGCCCTTCTTGCAGAATTAGAAGAGCAAAAAATTGTTCAGGCCAGACTCAAACAGACATTGACTTTCTTTGATGAGCTTCAAAATGCTGGCAGAGATCATGGGACTAGTGATTTTAGGGAGAGTTTAGTGTCCCTGGTTCACAATTCCAGAAAACTCCAAAACATTAGAGACAATGTGGAAAAGGAATCGAAACGATTGAAAATATCTTAGTTGCTGAATAGTCAAAAGGAGGAGCCTGTCAAAAAGTAGAATCACAAGGAATTTATACCAGTGACTGTTCAAACCAATCATACTTTTTTTAGATTTGCTTTGTCAACTCTTTGTTGTATTCTGTGTCTTCCTCTTTATTGGTCCATTTTCCTGAGATATGTGTGTACTACTTTGAACTAGGCTGAAGCATCTGTTCCTTGGAGTCTTATAAGTGGGAAGGGATCAAACAAATGAAGCCATGGCCAGTTAAAGATTATTTGCAGAGTTGTATCTTGGTCTTAAGTTCTTTGTGACCTTGATTATTTTGACTTATTTTTTGGATGAGACCAGGTGAGAAAGGGATTAAACAGGTGGCTTTTATTTTTTTAATTTTTTTGAGACAGTGTCCCATTCTGTTACCCAGGTTAGAGTAGAGTGTAGTGGCGCAGTCTTGGCTCACTGCAATCACTGTGTCGCAGGCTCAAGTGATCCTCCTGCCTCAGCCTCCCAAGTAGCTAGGACCACAGGTGTGTGCCACCATGCTTTGCTAATTAAAAAAAAATTTTTTGTAGAGATGAGGCTTCACTGTATTGCCCAAGCTGAGTGGCTCTTTTGTTAACCAGTCATTACACTGCGGGACAGCCAACACAGAGTACTTGCTTTTGCCCTGTAAAGTTTCTTACATGAGGGAGTCAATATATAGTTGAAAGAAGCATGTAGCAAAAAAGACAACCTTGATCTTTAATAAAGAAGAAAGAAGTTTGTTTTGTTTCCAAAATAAATCCTTCCCCTGACAAAAACCCTGGTGATGTTAAGCAATGTTCTATCTTGGAGTCCAGCAGAAGTCCAGTCCAATGTTCTTAGAGTCCATCAATGTTCTATCTTAGATTGAAAAATGCAGAGCCCACTGAAATAGAAAAGGAAGCCTATTAGCATACTCAGTAGTGAAATTTCATTTTACTGTTAGGTATTTATGCCAATTTCTTTTCATACTTCATTTCGTTTTGGAATCTGCCTTATACGTAATTAATTATTCACACTTAACAAGCATCAAATATTTAATGCCCTCAGTGGGAAATTTTAGCTCTGTCTTGTATTTAAACTCAATGGAATCTAATATTATGTAATTAGTCCTTGTGAAATGTTAGGTCACCCAAGAAAATGGGAGAAACAGCAGTGGTTGCTCCTAAGGTAATGCTTGCCCTCACGTCTTCCTAAAGAGCAGGACTTGAAATTTCTCCTTTATGTAGAGAAGAAGTAACTTAGGGTGTATTTGTAATGAAATATTCATAGATATAGAAAGCTTATATATACATGAAATATGTTTATTATCAAGAAGTCCTTTTTCCAGTTCTGTCATTAAATATATGTGTTTTAAAGGGTTTGGTTTTTTTCTGCTGTCTATAATGCCATGGTATATTTTCTTTCCAGTATGACTTTTCACTCAAGTGAAAACACTGTTCTTTTCACATTGGTAGCTTATTCAGAATCTACTGTAGTGGGTCGAACAGTGTTCCCTCAAAAGATAGGTCCATGTCCTAATTCCTAGAACATGTGAATGTTGACTTACTTGGAAAAGGGTTCTTTGCAGATATAATTAAGGATATGGAGATAAGGAGATCATCCTGAATTATTTGGGCGGACCCTAAATCCAGTGAAAAGTGTCCTTATAAGAGAAAGGCAGAGGGAAATTTGAGACAGAAAAGGAGGGGGTATTATGACCTCAAAGGCAGGTTTGGGCCGGGTACAGTGGGTCATGCCTGTAATCCCAGCACTTTGGGAGGCCTAGGCAGGTGGATCACTTGAGGTCAGGAGTTCACAAGCCTGGCCAGCATGGTGAAACCCTGTCTCTACCAAAAATATAAAAAATAAGCTGTGTGTGGTGGCACGCACCTGTAATCCTAGCTACTCAGGAGGCTGACGCAGGAGAATTGCTTGAACCTTGGAGGTGGAGGTTACAGTGAGCCTAGATCATGCCAGTGCACTCTAGCCTGGGTGACAGAGCAAGATTTTGTCTCAAAAAAACACAAAATGTTTGGAGTAATGCAGCCCCCACAAGCTGGAAGAGATTCTCCCTTAGAGCCAACAGGTGGGTTGCATTTCTGGCTTCTGGAACTGTGAGATAATTTTTTTTCTTTTTTCTTTTTTTTCTTGAGATCCAGTTTTGGCTCTTGTCCAGGCTGGAGTGCAATGGTGTGATCTCCACTCACTGCAACCTTCGCCTTCCATGTTCAAGCAATTCTCCTGCCTCCACCTCTCGAGTAGCTGTGATTACAGAATGTACCACCACACTCGGCTAATTTTTGTATTTTTAGTGGAGTGTGAGTTTCTCCACTTTTGTCGGGCTGGTCTTGAACTCCTGACCTCAGGTGTTCCGCCTGCCTCAGCCTCCCAAAGTCCTGGGATTACAGGTGTGAGCCACCGTGCCCAACCAAGAGGATGTATTTCTGTTGTTTTAAGTCATCAGTTTGTTACAGCAGTCACAGGAAACTTATTAGCATGTCAGTGAAATCAGAATATTGAGATGTTTATGAGTATATAAGCTGTTTGTTAAGGAAACAGCTGAGACTTTGTCATTATACATGCAGTAATATAGTTAATTAGAATACAGTTAAATATTGTCATGATCTGGATAGAAGGGTGAATTCAGTGTTTGAAGTCAGGGGTCCATTTCATGTTGAGTACATGCTTAATAATTGTTGGACGTTACTTTTGCTCTTTGTCACGGTAGTGTCTCTGCAGAAGTAATATAGTTGGCCCTACTGTCCTCTAATAACTAAATTCTCTCTTCAAAAATTTGGGAATAAATCAGAGTTATATACAGCTGGTTACCCATTCTCTGCTTCCCTGGAATGCAAAGTTTTTTTTTTTTTTGAGACGGAGTTTCGCTCTTGTTACCCAGGCTCGAGTGCAATGGCACGATCTCGGCTCACTGCAACCTCCGCCTCCTGAGTTCAGGCAATTCTCCTGCCTCAGCCTCCTGAGTAGCTGGGATTATAGGCACGTGCCACCATGCCCAGCTAATTTTTTGTATTTCTAGTAGAGACGGGGTTTCACCATGTTGACCAGAATGGTCTCGATTTCTTGACCTCGTGATCCACCCGCCTCGGCCTCCCAAAGTGCTGGGATTACAGGCTTGAGCCACCGCACCCGGCATGCAAAGTTGTTTTAACATGTGAAAATGAATCAATAGAATGGAATAAATAGAACTGTGGTAGAATAAAGGATTAAAAATTGTCCCATCTTCCATCCAGCATCAATCTCACCCAATTTCTCACTCTTCCCCCTGCCCCAATACTAGATCCTGTTCTGTAATATCAAACCTTCCCTGGTTTTATTTATTCTCTACTGTCGTGCCTATTCACCACTATATAGTGGATGTAAATGCAAAAAAAAAAAAAAAAAAAAAAAAAAATCTAAACATAACTGGGTGCGGTGGCTCACGCCTGTAATTCCAGTACTTTGAGGGATTACCTGAGCTCAGATATTGCCTGAGCTCAGAAGTTCCAAGACTAGCATGGACAACATGGTGAAACCCTTTAAAAATTAGCCAGGTGTGGTGGCACACGCCTGGAATCCCAGCTACTCAGGAGGCTGATGCTCGAGAATTGCTTGAACCTGGGAGGCGGAGGTTGCAGTGAGCCGAGATCGCGCCACTGCACTCCAGTCTGGGCGATAGAGCAAGACTCAGTCTCAAAAAACAAAACAAAAAGTCTGGCTTCTGGAACTGTGAGATAATTTTTTTTTAGCCTGGCATGCACCTGTAATCCCAGCTACTCAGGAGGCTGAGGCTCGAGAATTGCTTGAACCTGGGAGGCGGAGGTTGCAGTGAGCTAAGATCGCGCCACTGCACTCCAGCCTGGGCGATAGAGCAAGACTCAGTTTCAAAAAACAAAACAAAGAGTCTGGCTTCTGGAACTGTGAGATAATTTTTTTTAGCCTGGCATGCACCTGTAATCCTAGCTACTCAGGAGGCTGAGGCATAAGAATCGCTTGAACCTGGGAACCAGAGGTTGCAATATGAGACGAGGTCCTGCCACTGCACTCTAGCCCTGCAACAGAATGAGACTCTGTCTTTAAAAAACAAACAAACAAACAAACAAAAAAAAAAAAAACCACCAGGCATGGTGGCTCACGGTGGCTCACACCTGTAATCCCAGCACTTTGGGAGACTTGAGATGGGAGGATTGTTTGAGCACAGGAGTTCAAGACCAGCTTAAGCAACATAGTGAGGCCCCGCCCCCCCCCACCCCCCACTGCCCCGCCATCTCTACGAACACTAGAAAAAATTAGCCAGGCATGGTGGTGCATGCCTGTAGTCCCATCAAGCCTGGGAAGTTGAGGCTACAGTTAGACATGGTTATGAACACTGCACTCCAGCCTGCGTAATAGAGTGAGACCTTGTCTCCAAAAAGAAAAAAAGAAAAAAATCCTCAACAAAATGTAAGTAAATCAAATCCAGTAGTATATAAAAATGGTTACACATGATGACCAACTGGGATTTATCCCAGGAATATAAGATTGGTTTAACTTCTGAAAATGAATTAATGAAATACACCACCTCAATAGAATAAAGAACAAAAATCCTATGATAACCTCCATAGACACATAAAAACATTTGACAAAATTCAACACTCCTTCATGACAAAAACACTCAACAAACTAGGAACAGAAGGAATTCGTCAACCTGATAAAGCGCATCTATGAAAAACTCAAAGCTAACATCATACTTAATGGTGAAAGACTGAGTATCAGGAAAGAAAGAAAGAAAAGGAGGTCCACTTTCACTATCCTATTCAGCATTGTGCTGAAGATTCGATTCAGGACAGTTACACAAGAAAAAGAAAAAAGGAATTCAGATTGGAAAGAACGATGATATCTGCAGATGATATAATCTTGTATAAGACCATCCTGTTGTCATGTTACTATTAGAAGTAATAGTTATAATAGTTATAATGATTAGAATAAATAAATGAGTTTCAGCAAGGATTCAGAATATAACATCAATGTTAAAAAAGCAATTGTTGCCGGGCACGGTGGCTCACACCTGTAATCCCAGCTCTTTGGGAGGCTGAGGTGGGCGGATCACCTGAGGTTAGGAGTTTGAGACCAGTGTGACCAATATGGTGAAACCCCATA